ATAGAAGGTACGGAGGGTCTTCGGTTCGTTCTTGTGCTTTTGCAGCCAGGGCCGAGGCTGTGGCCGTACTGAATTTCGTGCAAGTCCTGGGCGGGAGTGGTCAGACGATATACATATTTTCTAGCCTCACAATGGACAGTGGTGCTTGCCCTTGGTTCTTGCAGTGGAAAGCACTATGTGATTACCAAAGTGAGCGTGAACTGGGACTGCGAGCTGTACTGTGACGTATTCTGTTTTGCTGTAATGATAGTGCGGGTAGAGCCCGACAGAGCACTACCCTTGGTTTTTGACGCCCAGTCGTGCTGGCCCTTTAAAATTGACTGAACTGTGTATTTTGAAGTATGCATATTACAGGTTCGGAGGGGCAAGAATTTGGGAAGGCTGGTTGCTTTGGTATTTGCGAGTGTCCATGCTGCATCATTGCGTGGGAAAATAATTCTGGCCCATTGCACTGACACTGCTCAATATTTTCGGACCGAACAGCACAACAACGCAGTTTCTTATTGAATGACAATGTAAAGAACAGCCACTTTCACTACCGGTGAACATGGCCGACATTCTTTGGGGAGTTTTGAACATCCCTGACCCGAAGGTGTGTTCGCGCCTCGTTTTCTTCGCGCAACCGGACGATCGAGGCGACACCAGTATGCAAGTCAATGATGCCCTTCTTACCTTCTTCTCTGCTGATAGCCTACATGTTCAAGAGCCACCTAACATCGTCGCAAACCCTCCCCCGTCGTATGATCCGAGAGACAGAAGATATTCGAAAACCGCAGACAACGAACCGAGCGAGTCAAGAACCCTTTGCCCCGAGCACCTCGACACTGGTCGTTGATGCCATTACGATCACACTACAAGACAGAAGAAATTGACCGAGAATTGCCAAGCACCGAGCTGCGAATTAAGAATAGGGGTACATCGAAGAATAAGAGTTTGCGCTCCAACGTTACATTCGATCGAGCTCCGTCCCTTCTCGACATGGCATCAACTTACATGTGACAACGGACTATTGGACTTTCTGAGAACAGAGAAAAGGACTTCAGCAGTTGCTATCGGGCAACTGGGTAACGCTTTACTGCGAGAGCCAGCGTAAGCTGTTTTCATTGCAAGTTCGCCGAGCCGAATGACTCAACGCGCAAAACTCAACGAAACTTTTACGTGAGGTTATCCGGGAATAAATAGTCTTTGTCACCGGTTGGTCGCAGTTGGTCATCAAGTGGCGGTTATTGCCGAGCAGTGGGAATGATCCATCGAAAAAGGTAACTTCCGCCCTGTCAGGCCATGACCAGATCTTGTCTTATCTGGTTTTCTAGATTAGCAGGTAGTATTCTAGATCTCATGAGACTACCGGCATGCGGCAGTGTCAAGAGATGGTGTCTGACGAGTTGGGGAGAGGGTCGAAAAGTTGCAAAACAACTGCCATATCCGGTCTAGTCCCAATCCCCGCCCGGGTCCGGCCATAGGTGAGACGCGAGGATCGTTGAGCAAGAGGTAGAAACTTAGACTGTACAATAAGATATCCTTTCCAAATATTGCCTACTACAGAACGCAATTGCCTGCAATCATCATTCGATTTAACCTTGATCTGTAATTGTGGCTCTTGCTTCTACGCCGCACTCCCAGAAGCGGAAGTCTGCCTCACTCTTATACGTTGATCGGCTGAACCCTTGTCCTGGCCTTTCATTCCTACCTGCACTGTTGACTGACTGACTTTCTTTTTCCCTACGTATATACGTGGAGTACCCCATGGCTCCAGGAAGTAAAAAGAAGGGGAAAAAAGTACCTTCTGGACCTGTTGCCGACAAGCCTTGTCATAACTGTCGACGTCGAAGACTTCGCTGTGATCGTCAACTCCCCCATTGCGCAAAGTGCGACGCAAAAGGCGTTGAGTGCCTGGGCTATTCTCAGATCTTTCAGTGGACGGGTGCTGTTGCTTCAAGGGGAAGACTCGCTGGTCAGCAGTCCAGCGCTGCCTTGTACTCCCCAGCACGTCCTTCTACTGCCCGCTCAAGAGCGTCGTTATCTTCTGTTTCTTCCCTCTCCTCAAATTCACCTGCATCTTCTTCCTCCGCCTCATCCGTCGCTTCGCCATCCGTTCCTTCATCTTCACCCGCCTTTATTGCCCCGAGCCTTTCTCAAGTCGAGGAGGTCACAGAAACGTCAGAAGCCGAGTCTGGATCGGAAATAGACCTGTTCAATGACATCGACAACAACGTCGACGATGAGAACGACGATGAAGATGATGCTGCGACCCCCCTAGCGAGTGGTGACACACAACTCGTCTGTACCACCATCCACAACCAGAACCATCCCCTGGCATCGGAAACGTCGACTCCGTGGGTGCTCGTCGATCCCTTGTACCAAGACATTACGAGCAACCACAGACAGTATCTCGCTTATTGTAAGCTTCCCGAGACTTCATTGGTTAGAGAAACAAGAGAGACATGGCTGACAAGCATGACCAGTTGATGCGCGGCTCAGTCGAGATTTTGTAGCCTACGACGTGCCCGACAACCCCTTTCGAAATCTACTCAAATTCACCCAGGCCCACCCTCTGCTACGTCAGGTCATCATCGCCGCCTCGGCAACGCACATGTACAACCGCTCTCGCCCGTGGCTGTCCTCGGACTCGCTAGAAAGAGGTCTTGGCCCGAGGAATCTGCTCATGGATGCCCTCGAGGCTAAGCATCAGGTATTGCGCATGCTGCCGTCTGCGCTGCAGAGTATTGAGTCTATCGGGGGTGACATTGTTCTGGCAGCGATTCTCTTCCTGATCAATGTAGAGCTGATAGAGTCTGGTAAACATAACTGGAAGGCTCACTTTGATGGCGCTGGGAAGATCATGAAGTTGCTTGGGCCTGTTTCTGATGTGGATGAGAGCTTGAGGGACTACATCGTATCTGACTGCTTCATGTGCGTGATCTTGATACTCGCCACCACCTCCTATTGCTAACATTTGCCAGATATTACATTCTGGAGTCAACGTTTCGACCAACAGATTCGGGCTCACCCTCATATTTTGAATCGTGTCAAGCGCTACAGATACTCGGCAAAACCACGAATAGCTATTACTGTTGCCCGCCGCAACTCCTCGAAATTATGCTAATAGCAGCTCGACTTTCCAACACAAAACCGGACGATGTGGTCTCGGCTGATATGGTCACTGCCGCTGGAACAGCATTACTCGACCGTGCTAGGAACTTCGACGTTATACCGTGGGCCCAAGATATCGACCTCAGCACCATCCCCTCTACCGAGCAAGACCCAGTGTTAAGTCGATTTAGAGTCGCAACGTCCCATCGGCTCGCCATCTGTCTCTACATCCTCCATGCGATACCCGCGGTGGGAGCTTGGGTCGGTGAAGATCTCGCAGACACGATATTTGCCGAACTTCATCAGGTGCTGAGTATTATTCCCGACGACGATACGAACTTTAAGGCTACGACATGGGTTACGTTTGTGTTTGGTGCGTGTGCTAGGACGCCGGAGATGAAGGACTGGGTTACGGTTCAAATCAAGAAGCTTATGCTTGAGTCACCTTGGGGTTTCTTATATGCAGCGAGAGATGCCCTGCAGATGTTATGGAGCGTCCAGGCTGAGGGGATGCCGATGACAAGCTGGGTGCAGACGTTGAGGGATCTACATATGGACTTTTTGATTGTTTGAAGACAGGGCATTCGTCAACAGCACAGTTTGGTCAGAACTCGAAGCCCTGATCAACAAAGTGTTTGGAAAGCCACTGGAAACCCCTGTTCTCCGGTGTTTGACACGCATTTGACGTTTTCCCCCGATCTGTGTCTGGCGTTCATTGGGGGTTTTCAACTGGGTATACCAAGGTGGACGCCAGCAGGGGCGGCTTAGGATCCAGGAGTATATTTGGTATGGGGCTCAGCAAACTGGGCACTTGACGATTATCTACGGCACTATGATCTATGATTTACAAGTCTGCCATTGTATTGGCGTACGCTTCTACAAGAACCTGATTCCTTTGCGACTATTTTCACAGACAAAGTGACGTTCATGTCTACCAGCCCCTTACTCAAGCTCCTTTGACAGCACTTTTCCTGCCAGACCCCCAATTTCTTTTCTCAGCCCACCAAGTTCTATCAAACCCCTAACATTGCAAGACGCCTATTTTCGGAACTCTAGGGCTTAGTAACCACGGTCAGCTTGAGGTTGTACACTCCCCTCGACCGAGTATGTTGCACAGTCCCCACCTTGATTGCCCCTGACTGACGGCTTTCGGAGAACATGTGCCCCGGAGAGATGGGCTGAAACAACTGTACCAGGTGGTTTTTTGCTGGGGTCACGCCTTGTAGTTTCGGGAAGTCACATTGTTGCGCAGACGGGCAGACGTCGGATGGCTTCCGGTTCCCGTTGGTGATGGCACGAGGGTTTAATAGGAAGTTTAAGGTTATTGGAATTGTTGAGATGGAATGGTTTTGCCGGAGATTGGGCATTCAACGATACGAGGTGATAAGATTGAAGACGTTTCAACTGTCCTTCATCAAAGACGACGAGAGTCTTGTCCGTCATGTCTTATTGCTGTAGGATGGCGAGTCTTAGTCGATCAGAATGTGCTTCTGGGTGATTCGAGGCCAAAAGTCCGAACAAAACATCTACGAATGCTCTCCAATGGCCAAATACTCAAGATCTATGTGCAGCTAGCAGAGGCATCACAGGTGAAGGACAGAGTGGTGAGTAATGATATATCAAGTTCGACACTGGGTCTACCATGACCCATATCTAGATAGTCTAAAGCTCTGGATTTATTTGTGAAAGACTCATGTCCATAAAAATATCCCCATAGAATAGAACATTTACTTCCCTCTAATATCTGGCATCGTTTACGCCAGAGAATTGACCCGTTACTTGGTTCCCATCCCATATTATAGCGCCATCATAACAATAGCGCCTTTAATCTTCCCCCATTAGCTGCCAGAAATTCGCCCAAAATTCATCAAACACACAAAATTCAAACTGCAGCATACACACCACTTTTACCTCTTGGCTGCTACTCGGCATCCGTTCTTCGAACACAACGCTAAAGCATACAACTCCGTCCACTCCTCATCATCCCTCGACTCGATCTCACTATAAGCCTGCGCCATCCTCGCCACAACGTAATGCGTTTCCAGAAGAGCGTACTGTTCTACAATCCCACGTTAGCGTTGCCCATCGCACATTCTCCCAAGACTTACGACCAATACACGCGCGAGCACCGCCGTTGAAGGGCAAATACCCCCAGCCAGGTCTCAGATCCTTCCACCTCTCAGGGGCAAACTCTTCGGCCTTGGGCCCGAAGACATCCTCGTTACGATGCATGGCGTACACGTTGTAGAACATGGCTGTTCCTTTGGAGACGAAGAGTGGTGACTTTCCGTCGATGCCGCCGCCCCGGGGGATGGTGGTGTCTCGCACTGCGACGCGGGCGTTGGTGGGAATGACAGGATGCAGCCTCAGCGCTATTGGGATGTGAGAAACGGTTTAGGGCTGAGATGCGGAATGGTGGGCTTACATTCGTTGACGCACCATTTTAGGTAGGTCATGTCTTTGAGTTGACTTGCAGTAGGGGGCTCTTGACCAGCAACACTTAAAACCTCATCTCGGAGCTTTGCATAGATCTCAGGCTTCTTGGCCAGGAAGAAGAATAGATTACCAAGAAGACCCGATGTAGTGTCCCGACTTGCAAGCAGGATGTGTAGGATATGATGACTGAGCCCCGTTCTGTCTTTTGCTACATCCATCATCTCTGTCAGGAAACTGCTGCCTGAGCCATCCTCGGACTTGTTCAGGGACTCTTGAATGAAAGCATCGAGATACTCGTACACCCTCTTTCTCGCCCTCTTAGCTGCAAAGTTGAATTTGAGGGGGTGGAGTGGACCAAGCTGCATTTGGTGGATGATCTCTTCGGAGCAAACCATGTAGTCATCGACAAACTGCTGTTCCCGAGTGTGATCTGCATTTTGGATAAGCATATTGGTCGAATGTCCCATGAGGAATTCCGTAGAGACATCCATGGCAAGAGCTAGGAAAAGAGGCTGGAGATCAACTTCAGAGCCATCGGTAGGGACATGCTGGAGGAAAGACTGGAAGTTTCGTTCGAGAGTGTCTAGAAAGGGAGCGGGATTGTCTTTCCTGAAACTTTGTCTCAGTACAGCCCGGGCATGCTTCCAAGGATGGCCTGATAGAACGAAGATGCCCTGGCCAAAGATATGGCCAATGACTGAAGTTCTAAACTCGGGAAGATCAAAGTCATGATATGCAGTGGCAAGGATTTGTTTGATGTTCTGGGGATCGCAAGTGTATACACATTGCCAAGACCACCTCTTCTCGATGTAAGTAGTACCCATCTCCTCGAAGGCTTGCCAGCTACTGTCGAGATATCGTTCAGGGGGCTTTTCAAAGAAGACCTTGTAAAGGAAATCGAAACCAATAATGGGATCTTTCACGGCCACTTTGCTAGTAGCTTCTTTACAGCCCTGAGCTTGTGCAAGTCTCCATCTTCGAAGACATTTCTCAAGTACACGAAGGGGAACAGGGAGAAAGAGAAGAACGATAGCGGCAAGCAAATGCTGCTCTAGAAACTTGATCAGTAATAGACTGAACATGATGAAAGAGGCTGAAGTTGACAGTCTCAGGGGAGTGCAAGTCGGATTGATAGAAGTGGAAGGAGGCTTGGGCAGCCACGTCCAAAGGGGGAACTGAGAGGTAAAGTACAGCAAAGGAACCAAGTAAAAGCCCTCAAATTATCCCCGAACTTTTGGATCAATGTCCCAGATCCAGAGCACAAGAAGCCAAGGGACATACAATGCGTACGCCCCCTTTTATTGAGGTTGACCATGCGGATCACTTCCCAGGCATTGCCTTGTAATGCATTTTACTGTATCGTACTGTTTTGGTTGGACTGCTCCTCGTCGTGCAGTCCTAGGCGCCACGATATAATGCCATTATTCCAAAAACAGAGCCCGTAGCAACCCCGGGGCCTGTTCATTACGACGATATACTCTCTATGAGCGTTTATTGGGGCTGTTGGCTCTCCAATCAAGCCGCCTATTTAGGTCGAGGCTTAGAACAGGATCCCTAGTATACGCTGCCCCCACAGCAGACAGACGTGTGCTGCCTGCTGTCGCTGTCACTAACAATACCACCTGCAGTGCGACGGAGAAACAAGAAACCCGAATCATGGATCTTTATTCGTTGATCATTATCCTCCAAGTAGCTTCGGGGCCTGGCGTAGATCGAAGGGGGGATAGGACACTCAGGCTTGTATCAGGAGAGCAGCCCACACACCGGCTGTGCTAATAATTCCTTGGTCGGTTGATATCATCAGCTGAGGATATTGCATTCTTCGTCCTATGAGGTCAGCGCCGCTGGTGACACGAGTGATGACGGATTCTATCTTGGTCAGGGGTATGAGAGGAACCCGGGAACTGACAGCGGTGCAGAGCATGGGGATGAGCATGAGCACGAAGCATGAACACACTTAGGCAAGGCGAGATTCAGATGCGGCACAGACCGAGACAGCGTAATGTATCTCACCATGAGACATTAACAACTTACAGGAGCTTTGCAGAAGTTGTGCCATGTCAAGATACACTCCAAGATTTAGGCCCGAATACCTCGGCACAGTAGATACCATCCATGCTGATATGCAGATTGAGGCTTTTGGGACCTAAAGACCTGCCTGATTCTATGTCTACCGTGTTGAAATGATGGGCCACGCCACCAGAGGCCGCAGAGAAGAAACTATAACTAACAGAGACACGACTGCACTCGAGGTTACAGAATAGTAATATCCTCTGTCTTGATATGTCTCGCCCATCAATGTCTCGGTTTGAGGACTGGATCTTGCCTTGACTGCCGCTAGTAACCCGCAATGTTTTAGTCTGTCTTGTGGAGAGTGCCATCGTGTTTGACTACTGCATGTCAATGTCATAAATATCTTTTTAGGCGAGGCGAAGGCGGCTCGGGACGGGACACTCGGAGGTTGACCGTTTTCTTCCAAGGGTCTCCCCTGAAAAGAGCGAGGCTTTAAAGGTTACTTGTTGGTACTCAAGGTTCACAAGGGTATGTATGGGTGCATACAGGTGGAAAATAACACGGAGCAGCAGTCGGGCGAGCCCCAGGATTTGGGTCTGATAAGAGTCAGGATTCGTGATATGGGAATATCAGATTGAAACAATTGGAAACGTGAAGAATTCATGTTCCGGCTGACAACGAGGCAAAAGCAACCTCACGGCAGATTACGGCGATCATCCTGTTTCTCAAACGTCCGGATTAGTACTATTGTCTCAGATATAATGTCTGAGTTCGTACTTGTCCAAGCACGCACACGCCCACGCCCCGTGCTCAAAGATCCTGCAACCTGAGAGGTCATGGACAAGACAACAACAGCAGCAGAGGAGAACAGAAGCAAGACCCCGGGAGAGCTGATGTCGTGCCCCCAGACGATAATACATGCGGTTCCGTCGTTGGCTCACAGGGCGAGTGGCTGTAGACCCGAGATAGTGATTGGGCCGAGCGCCATCTGTGTTACTGTTATGAGCTCTCTCCGACGTGTACAGTGTCAGCCGGGTTCGGGCGGACCAAGCTGTCGGATCCTTCTATTTTCTGCTGTGGTTTGTTGTATGTACCTATGTTGAGGTTGCATTGAACTTTGTTGGAATGATCTTACATGGTTAACGAGTCAAGCCGGTCTCGTAGCGCAGTGTTGGTGGTGCCTAGTGAGTTAGGCATAGCACAGTAGTGTTGGTCCTTAGTGTCGAATTGGGTAGATGCTGTACACTCTGAGGACCGTCTGCTTTTGGTATTCAGCAGCTGAGTTCTAGGGATCGTATTTAACCCTGCAATATTCCCTTCACGGCCCTTTACTGTACTCTAGGTAGGTATGCTGATCATCTCTTGTTGGTCTCTGTACCACTTACATGCGTGTTCAATATTCGTTTCTTGATTCAGCCTCTTTTTTTTTTCTCCCGCCTTCTCTTCCCATTCCTTCCCTTCCTTACCCTTCCCAGGCTTTGCTTTTTCTTCACCTAAACACCATCCTACCTACTACCTACACCTCTTGGCCCACCCACACTATGGAGCCAATTGTCTCACAGGATGGTAACTCGATCGACGCCTCAAACGACGAGTCTACTATTTCCGAAGTATTTGGTCATCCTATTCTCGACTTGCATCTTACTCTCTGGGATATTTTCCAAGATGCTGCCCATTTGAGCCCAGACGCAGATGCCATTGTCTCGCTTTGGCAACCGCACAATCACTTGTCAAACGACCAACACCAAGCACCCACTGGCACTACCGAGCCATACCTTAGATGGAGCTATTCGCAGCTTAGAGACAAGGCAGAACGACTCGCCGAATCCTTAGAAAAGTTGGGTTGTCGAGAGGGTATGCGACTAGCCGTTGTTCTGGGCAACTGTGCTGAATGGGGTCTCTTCTTCTGGGCAGCGGCCAAGCTTCGCATGGCTTTTGTGCCTCTTGATGCAACCGTTCCTCTAGATGCAAAGAAGACGATCCTATCCGTCAAGCCACATGTGTTGGTGGCACAAGATGCAAAAGGCGCAAAGGCTCTCGACCTTTCTGACACCCAGATTTCACAGTCCAGTATATGCGTACTGTGTACAGAGAGCGACCTCGATGGCTGGCCCTCGCTGTCTGATCTCCTGAACCCTGCAGAGCAACTAGACCAAACATACACAATCACAGATAGTGTTGAATACAACCAAGACGAAGACCCGGCACTAATCATCTTCACAAGCGGAACAACGGGCGAACCCAAAGGATGCTGGCACACGAACCGCAATCTCATCTCACAGTGCTGCGACTTTGACCCCGAGGTCAACGCCATGGGGCCGTTGAGATGGCTTATCCACACGCCCGTCTCCCACGTCTTCGCCATCAACAACGCTCTTCGCGCATGGCGCTGGAGTGGCACTGCTGTGTTTCCCTCCAAGTCTTTCAACGTGGATGCCACTCTCAAGGCCCTTGTGCAAGAGCAGTGTTCCATCATGTCAGCCACTCCCACCCTCGTCAAAGCCCTCATGGCACACCCCAGTTTTCCCAGCGCAGATCAACTCGATCTTCGTATTGTCACCATCGGCGGTACGTCCATCGGCGCTGAAGACATTCGACTCTGTCGCGAAGGCTTGGGTGCCCAGATGGCCATCCAAGTCTTTGGCATGAGCGAGGGCGCTCCCATCATCACCTGGCAGCGATATGACCCTGATCTGGTAGACGGCTGGCATCCTGGTGTTGGCAAGGTTCTTCCAGGAGCGGCAGTGAGGATCTGCCGGCCCGAAACACGGGAAATACTACCTCGATCGGAGATCGGAGAATTGCACATTGGCGGGACATCTGTCGTTACGAAATATTTCAACAGGGGTGCTGATGGGTCCATGTACACTGATGAAACGGGCAACTGGTTAGCCACTGGAGACCAAGCCAGGATCGACGAAAAGGGCGTCGTGTATATCCTTGGCCGGTACAAGGATTTGATTATTCGTGGCGGAGAGAACATTTACCCTATCAACGTCGAGCGGGAACTCCAGCAACTCGATGGCTTGCAGGTATGTTGAACATAAATCCATGCATCCCCTGTGTCTAACTCTCCAGCAGGTTCAAGTCATCGGAGTGCCAGACGATCTTGCTGGCCAAGTCCCCGTTGCTATCGTTGTTTTACCCCAAGACATGACTAAAGCGCAAGTCATGGAAAAAGCAAGGAAAGCCGACCAACGCTATGCCCTCGACAGCGTTTACACCCTACAAGAGCTCGGACTAGAGAGGTTCCCGTTGACAGCTCTCGGCAAAGTCAAGAAACAACAGCTCAAAGCGCGAGTGTTGGAGCATCGACAGGCGAACAGCACAACCAAGACTCAACTCAGCAACGGAGCATCGACACCACCTTTCGTCGACAAGTTACTCGGCATCTGTGAGCAACTCACTGGTACTCGGCCCTCGGTAACGGAGAGTTTCAAGTATCTCGCCGACAGCATTACTTTGCTGCGTTACTGTGACCATGTTCTTCGTATCTGTGGCCAAAGACTCTACCTGCAAGACTTTGTCGAGAACGATACAATCGAAAAGCAAGCGCATCTTCTATTGTCTCGAAAGCTACAACAAGCTCGTCTTGTCATTACCCCAGAAGTCCCCAGATATAATCCGCCCTCGTCCAAACAAGAAACTCGAACCTCCAGCTCCAGCTCTGGGTTTACGAGTACCCCAGCCGAGGAGAAGAACACGTTCTTCTTTGCCAAACGAGCGGTAGTACGTGCAGGCTTCTCCCCTTCCGACATCGAAGACGTGCTACCCATCAGGCATTCGCTCCATCGGACGGCGATTGGGTCACGGCCGCAGTCCTACCACAACCGCATGGTGTTTCGCGTCTGCAACGTTGCGCAGCATCAGATTCTGCGCGCCCTGCAAAAGGCGCTGGACTCGAGACCGATGCTCAGGACGATTGTGTTCCCTGCCTCGAATCGTGTTCCGTTCCACGCTGTTCTTGTAACCAGCTCCGCACTAGTTGATCAGCTTGTTCACGAGGTCGAGGTTGACTCTGAGGACGATGCGTGGAACATCTTCAGAGACGATTCCTCGCCAGCGCATT